CCCCCCCCCCCCCCCCTCAGGTTCAGCATTACCACTTCATCACCAGTAAATAGGGTTGGGCAATATTTTGATATTATCAATGATACACGATGATTGTACGTACTCAAGATCATCATATTGAAAGTAAAAGCTGAGTCGTTATGGAGTTATCGTGAACTAACAAAGCTTAATAATATAAAATCTTAAAAAAAAACTATGTTAATTAATCCATCCCTGAATTGGAAACCAAAATTTCATATGGTATGTAGGTAACAATTGCAAGTGGAATTAATAGTTGAAACAACCTATTTTCCCTCATGCATATATAACTTGATGTGGTACGAGGGTAGCTGAACTAACAATAACGAGGAGCCAACCATGTTAATTTCTTTTGAAAACAAAGTTGTCTATGAGGTCATAAAGACCCAATACTTTATTATTTTGTTTGATAATTGCCAAGGATTTCACACAGAATCCCCTCCCCCAATACCCCCAAGTGAATCCATCCCACTACTACACGAAATAATACTTCTTTCCCTCTGAGTCAGAGACGGATTTTCATATTTTCGTTCAGGGGGTGGATAATATCTGGGGAGGGTGCTGCTGCTTGCTTTGTCCGGGGCGTGGTGGCAATGCCCAGAAAGGCCAAGGAAAAAGTTTAACAAAATTTTTTCTAGGCCTGCATGGCGAGATCTGATACCATAATATTGGTAATTTTACAAATTTAGTAGTAAGAATAATCAAATATGAAACTATCAAATCGAAATATATGTAATTTGCAGGGGTGCCAAATGCCTTTGGGAGGTGCAAATCATTTCTGGGAGGGTGCGCACCCCCCCCCCCCCCACCCCCAGAAAATCTGTGCCAATTAACAATGAAAGCATTTTTTTACAGATCTCTGCAATATTATGTTTACAAGTTCCTTGAAGATATGATTATAATAAATGGTGACATATGTCTGTACATTGTAGAGCATTTTGTACATATTTTGTACTTACTGAGGCCAAATAAAAATAATAGTTGGTTTCAGGTTTCACAGCCATGTTTTATATGGGTAGGTAGGTCGGAAAAGCATTTTATTAAAAAAATCTTTTATCTCAAGTATGCAATAAATATAAGTTGTTTATGAGTAACTGTCACACATAATCAGACGTGCCACACAGGATCAACCGCGAGCTACACATGTTTTGCGAGAAACAAATGCATCAAGGATTAACATGACTAGATAATGATTAAATTATGAGCAAACAAAATACTTTGTAGCAAATGAGTGTGATGACTATTTATATATTCTGATATTTACGAAAAGATGATCCCTACTGGGAAATGTCAATAAAATGTTTATGGTCGGTCATATTTTTGACAGGTTGGTCGGAAACCTGAAACCAACTATTATTTTTATTTGGCCTGAGTACTTTTTATAATATTCAGACAATAGATAAATTTGTATCATAATTAAATTTGTATCAAAATCTGTAATTTAATAATAAATATTCATTCCATCTTGTTTCATTTCTTGTTTTCTTTAGTAGCCTGCAAGAAAAGATCTTCTTAGAAAATCTGATATTTTTGAAAACTTATTACACGTATATACACAAGGCTGTCGGAAGTAAATCAATATTGGGATGGGGTCTCAAGAATAAATTTGAATTGCTTTTGCATTTTTCTAGTTCTTTTGTGTGTGTTTGCTCATACAAATGGAATATGGGGGGGGCTTATGCCCCCCCCCCACTTCTGAGTTCTGACAACCTTGTTACCTGGCTAGGCCCCACCCACCTATGTTTTTTCCCCAATGAAATTATTAATAAGAACAGCATGCTAAAAGAGGTTCAAACATGGGGGATGTTTCTGCGAAAGCTGGGTTTGCCTGATAAGAGAGATATCCCTATGTATAGCAGGCCTTTATTAAGGTACAATCACTGTTTGAATCACTCTGAAAACCTGATGCTGATTGCTAAGTAAGTGCACTTGTAAGGGTTTGTTTTGAAAAATGCATTAATAAAACCAAGTCAGTATGCTGTTAAGCCTCAAAAACTGAAAGCAATAGACTTGGCATAGACCCTTGACCCTTCCTGCAAGGGGTGCAAACAATAAAATTCCCTATGGGTAAATTTGCAAGGGATGCAATTATGCAAACACATTAATGGTGAAAACAATTAACAATATATTCAAGGTGGCATCCTTAACCTTGCTACTTGCACATGGTGCAAATGCTATAAAATGATTGATTAATAAAAATTAATTTAACAATATTTTACCTGAGATTCGACAGGGATTATTTTGATCAGCGTATGTCTTTAGTTTGACAGAGCGCAAAAAAAACATTCCGTATATTTTGGCAACTTCTTTCGGATCTTGGCCAAATATGGAAATAACGTTCCCTCTCCAGAAACGTCGAATCAAGAACTACTTGCCAATGTCTACAATCTACAACAGTCAAAATAAGATCGATATTTTTAAATATGCACATATATTAATAAATTGCGACAATTGATACATTTTTGAGCGTAAAATATGTAAAATGTAAATGAGCATACCTTCGTACCCTTTTTCAATAAACAGGAAATATACTTTAACGTTTCCTCGTCATACATAACGACCTTGAAAAATCCTCCCTATTTGCATTATCTCGGCCATTTAATACAATGGACGCCATCTTGGATGCGGGATTTCCGAGTCGCTTCAGATTCTATCGCATTCCCATTAAGCACCGCGCTCCTATTGTTCTCCACTGATCTCTATTCCCAACTGAAGCGACGAGGGACGAGGCAGGGAATGTGAGGCTCTGGGAAAATCCATTGCCGGAAGGCAGGAATCCTGGCTAAGACCGAACTGCGCATTCCATATCAACAGCCAATCAGATTCCTCCCTGAAACAGATTATCCCAGAGCCTCACATTCCTTCCCGAGGATCGCAGGCTTGGGGAACAAGATTGCCCTGGATAATGTGTTATCTCCCTACCGAGCATCTGTGGAGTCTCTCCAAGGGTTCCCTGCTGGCTCCGGTGCTCTAGGGACCTCTGCTCGCAGGGAACTCCAAGGGAGACAGCTTAATTTCTTGACTCTCACTTGACTTACCGTAATCTCGACCAATAAAACTATAGGAAAAGTGAAATTTGAAACTTGCTATATAATCATAATAGTTCAGGCTCAGTCTGAATGTTTTTTTTTACATGTTTTGCACCTCAACCATATTATAATTTAAAACTCAGTATCGTATATTAAAATAAAATTCTTACCATTCTTACCCTAGATGTGCTTCATCAATCACAATAGCTTTAACAGAATCTTGATATGATTTTGACTTCAAAATATTTTGAAAAAATTTCTTATCTTCCAATAAGTATCTGACTTGGATGAGCAATCTGATGATAAATAGAGGCCCCTCTCCGACCGCATGCTGTGCTTTGGTAACGTTGTTTCCCTGCTGGCCTTCAAAGTTCAAAACACTAACATCCATGTGCTTTTTCAGTTTAGTAATCTGATCGACCATTAAGTCGTTTAATGGCGAAATAACAATTAATGAGTTACCAGTAGAATTCGTATTTTCACGACATAAGTGACTTTCCATGGCCAGTAGGCAAGACGCAAAATGTGTCCTTCCGATTTTTTTTATTTTTTTTTTATTGTTTTCCCATGTATATATATAAAAAAAGCTACTTAAAATATGTTACAATAATTTAAAGATTTTGGGCTAGAGACCTACTAGAAATCTTGATAGACTTTTTTATTTAGGCCTCTAGTTAATCAACAACTACAGCCTTCACTGCTTCGTACTGACATTCCTTTAGCTCAATATTTTGCTTACCTAGTCGCTCTAACGCTTTTTCCAATCCGCTGTGAAATAAAGTAATACTTTCTGCAGACATTTTTATTTTTTTATATATTTCAAAACCAAAACAATACTATCTGACACACGCATGCGCAGTTCGGTCTTAGCCAGGATTCCTGGCTTCCGGCAACGGATTATCCCAGAGCCTTCGGTTCCTTCCCAAGGATCGCAGGCTCGGGGAACGAGATTGACAAACATCACATTGTTTTGACGGTTTTCAGACGTATTTCCGGTTGGGATTAACTCACTTCGAGCTCACAGTCGGACAAGAAATGGAAATATATTGATAAAAGATACAGATTTGAAGATACAGGCTTGCAAATAACACTCTAAATAGTGTTTTTGATGGGGATTCGAACAAGACTATTACAAAGACGATATGTGCGAAGGGGCCGAAGTTATTTTCAGCGAAAGGTATGGCTAGTCTATATTTTGTTAGACAATTGCGTAATTTGATACAATATTATCGTGTTTGACTTTCAAAGGCCC